CCATGTTAAGGTATGGGAGTTGCGATCACCTCAGCGCTACGACTGTCCTAAGTCCATGTTAAGGTATGGGAGTTGCGATCACCTCCGGGCTACGACTGTCCTAAGTCCATGTTAAGGTATGGGAGTTGTGATCACCTCAGCGCTACGACTGTCCTAAGTCTATGTTAAGGTATGGGAGTTGCGATCACCTCAGCGCTACGACTGTCCTAAGTCCATGTTAAGGTATGGGAGTTACGATCACCTCAGGGCTAAGATTGCATTGTACAAGGACACCCTGTAAAGTTTTCCATCCGACAAATCAACCTACCCGATTTCCCAATGTTTGATAAAGTAACTAAACTGAGCCAATACTCTGCACCTATTTTCAATCACAAGGCATAAGTTTTTCAGGGGGAATATGACTCAAAACCTAAAAACATTATGTTTTATCCTACCTTGAAAATATGAACGCTTATGATCAGATGATCGATTTTCAATAATTAAAATGCTGTCAATTAGTGTCCCACGCACTGCGATGACACCAGCATTATTTGTGTTGACAAAGGAGAACATATCGAACCTCTCGTGAGTTTTCACTCTTTGAAAGATATCATGTTTACAACTCAATACATGCTAATATCATTCAAAATGTTCAGAATAGCGAATAAACGTGACTATTCTATTTCAATCTGTTGAGTATTTGTATGGAACACTCACTGCTTACATGTTGTGTTGTTACAAAACTAACAGTTCTACAGCCTGGTCGTATATCTCACACACCTTACTATTAGTCTCTGTTAGTCAACGCGTGTTGATACTTGTGTGATTTCGAAATGTCCGCGCATTTCTTTTTCTTTTTGTTTTATTTGAATATCACTACAAAACTTCAGAACATAACGAATACTGCCTGTCCTTTATCGCAATGAGGTGATATGGCTTAAAGTATATACTGACGTGAGATGTTGACTCTCTATATACAGTAGAGAGTGAGTGAGCTGGGTTTAAGGCCGCTTTAAACAATATTCCAGTAACCAGGATTCGAACCAACGAACATAGATTCCTGGCGTGCTAAAGGGACGCAACTCGGCACAGCGAATTTCGACGCCTCAGACGACTGGGCCAGTTGTGCCCCCGCATACAGTAGTAGTATTGTGTGGTTAAAGTAGTTCTAGTAGTACTTTTGTCCAGAAATGAATTAGTTGGTAGATTTTTTGTGGGAGAGTTGTTGTTGTTGGGGTTGTCTTGGTTGTTACTTATTTGTTTGTTTTGTGTAGATGTTGTTGTTGTAGTAGTGACTCTAGTATAAGTAATAGTAGTAGTGATAGTTGTAATTATTGTTGTAGTGATTTTAGGCGCATTAGTAATCCAGGCGGTCTATATGTTAATTTGATACTATTTAATATTAGTTACATAGGATCCTGCACTGGGACTTCGTGCTAACAATTGTGGTCACCAGGTCGACGTCCTGCGTCCTCCGTAGTCTAGAGTTCGAGCGTCCGCCCCGAGAGCGGAAAGTCATAAAGCTGTGTTATACAAAAAGACGTTGAAAGATAAATGCTTGTTGTTCCCTAGTCTGGCGCTCGACATTAAGGGCTCAAACAAGGACTGGTCGGCTCGAAGTCAGTATACTGTGTCTGAGTGGGGTATTTATGTTAACCTGTGGCATGGTATCTCAGTGTCCTAGCACTATAAATTCGCATCAGTCCGGACTAGTACAAGCAGCCGCACACACACACACACACGTACATGTACGTCGCAATATAAGTGCAACAATCTGGGACACGACGTTAAACCCCATTTCTCCCTTCCTCACCTCACTAGCGAATATCGCTATAATAAGTTAAATCGTCAACATCAGAGAATGACAACTCTACATTATCTTACGTAACAGATTCCATTGGGCGCAAAAGAGAAAATAGCGGTGAAAATAGTATGAATGGAACACTGATAATGACCCACCCCAAACATTTCTTTTGTATTTGATTCAGCATCAATTATAAACGCTTCTGAGCTTATGATTAAACTCGGAGACTTCAGTCCACCAGAAGAACAATCGACCCAGTTCAAGTGAATTTTTCCCAATCTCGAGAACAACCAACGATGGTCAGATGTTAGTATCTAACATCAAGCAAAGGTCAACAACTTGGTTGTACATGGTTATAACATAAAGTTATATCCCTATAATCACTTAAAGCAGCGCGACAACAGTATTGAAGGGAGTGTGAGTTTCCTCAATGAAAGCGACAAAATTATTTTATATCCGTCAGTTTGTGTGTTTGTTTGTTGTTTAACGCCAACAGAGCAATATTCCATCTATATGACCGCGGTCTGTAATTAATCGAAGCTGCACCAGACAATCGAGTGACTGATATCATGAGCATCGATCTACGCAATTGCGACACTTCACAGAACCTTTATATTTTATAGAACTCATGTGTAGATTATAGTTGTTGTTGTAACGGATCTGATTGTTTGGCTGTCGTCGTTGCCTGACGACGTTGGTCATTGCTCACACTACCAGCCACTGTTGTATCTCTCCCAGACTCCATTCCTTATAGACGTCGGATTGCTACCTGCTGCTCTTAAGACACATCTACACATACACTCGCATGCAAGTGTTCTAAGTTTAATCCAGTGCATTTGTGCATGTATGAGGCTTATGAATTACAGGTGAATGGCATCCACAGTAAAGCCTTTGAAATTATGAGAAGTGAAAAACGGTTTAATTTCATCAGTTCAAGATTAATGTGTCTTTATTGCAGCCTTGTGAAACCTGGTTGTCCACTGCCCTCAACAATATGCAAAACACACAAACACACACGCACGCACATACACTCACACAAACACACACACGCACGCACAAATGCACACACGTATACACACAAACAAGTACGCACGCACACACACATACACACGCGCACACACAGACACACACACGCACGCACGCACACATTCACACGCTGTTCCTTGTTCCTTTTTTTAAATCAGTCAACGCATGTAGCAATGTATTGTTTTGTGATATATACTTCTTTGTAATGTTATGGATAATATCGTTTTATTAAAGGAAAAGACTGGAAATAAACTGATAATCATTGAATATTGAAATGAGACATAAATAAATAGTTGTACCATGACTGAAAGTTAGTGAGTGAGTGAGTATGGTTTTATGCCGCTTTTAGCCATATTCCAGCAATATCACGGCGGGGGACAGAAGAAATGGGATTCACACACTGTAACCATGTCGGAAATCGAACCCGGGTCTTCGGCGTGACGAGCGAACGCTTTAACCACTAGGCTACCAGACCGCCCCCACCATGAATCAAAGCCAATGTTGGTCTAATGGTATGATTATCATCAGTTGCAACTACATACAATGACATACAATACGTATTAGTTGATGAAGTCAATTGTAACAACATCTTTGTACTGAAGGTATGTCATCAAGATGGCCCTTATTCATTTCGGTAAGGCAACACGTTTGACATTCTGAAGACTGAGGTTTTAGTTTTTCAGCTTTAATCGCTCATATACATGTATACAAAAAATGTCTAATTCTATCATTAGCCTTAGTTGCAACTGTATACATTGACATACAATCAGTATTAGTTTATACATTCAATTAAGACAACACTTTGGTAACAAAGTTAAGTTTGTCACTTGCTCTGAGGTAAGGTAACAGTAACTGATTACGAAGAACTAATTAATATTCTTAATACTTTGGAAATGGGCCCGTGTTTGACATTTTTAGCTAATGAACAATATAGACATGTTTGTACGCTGATAGAAACTATGTTGCAAAGTATTTTCTGGTTATAATATGGTCATCAACACACACGCACGCACGCACGCACGCACGCACGCACGCACACACACACACACACACACACACACACACACAATGTTATGATCTTAAACCTGTTTCTCCAGGTAGGTACTTCGTAATGCAGACTCGAAAATAGAACTTGTAATTACAGACATGGTATGACATCTGAAAGAAGATTAAGCATCAAATGCCAAATATATGTATCATTCAAGCGCTGCTGACCGTAATTAGTACTTGTTTACATTACAGGCGTCCATAGACAGAAGAGTTGGCAGGAGAGTTCTCCCACAGTCGCCTTTTGGTAAATACACTACAGGGTAAAAAGATAGGTATACTACAACTCGAAGAAAAACCCTGTAAGCAATCCATAGTCTAGACTGCTGTTAGAATGACTCTCCTTACAGTGCTCCAGTGTCCACACAACACCTGATGTTTCATGTGTCATCAATCACTGGTTGTTCATTCTACACGTATATACTTTATGTTTATTGCCCTCCCTAGTGACTTTGATTTTTATCTTCTTTCCTTTGCTGACAGACAGAGGTGAAGGAAACATCACCACATCTGAAAGTTGCCCCTTTGTAACATCCAGGTCCTGGTGGTGCTGCAGCAGGGTTTTGTTATCACTGTCAGTAACAACTATGTCAACATACACCTTGCCTTCCTGGCTCCCAGCGTACACGCTCAGCCCGGTCAGGTGAACACTGGCATCACAGGATATATACAACGCATCACGTCGATATTTATCAAAGTTATTAATCTCGTGGTACTTTTCGTCAGGAGGTAAGCGAGACAAGTTATAGAATGGAGGCATACGAGATATGTCACAGAACGGCTGTATATCCAGGTGGCTGATAGAGTATTTACGTAATAACATTATGACATGGGCATCACTTAAAATACCTTCATTGCAGACAGTTGTGGCAAATATTACTTCTGAAATAGCGTGAAAACGAATAAGAAACAAACACTCTCCAAGCACTTCCCTTTTCTCTTCTGGAGTTACCTCCCTTCCCTGACGTCTACATTCAGCTTCCGCCCACGACATCACAGATCGGAAGATGCAAATCTCGTTAACTCTCATGTCATCTGCCTTCAGGATCAGCTTTAGACATTCCTTGCTTAGCTCACAGAATCCCTCACTAGCAACACTCACCTCGGCATTGGATTTGATTACCTTAAGAGCTCTTTCTTTAAGGTCTTCTTTATCAAACAGGTCTGCTTGTTGTAGGAATAAACATGCGTTGGTAGGCAACAAAGATTGTAAGCAGAACTCCTCACATTCCGTTTCTAGCCCTGTGATGTTGTATTTCCTAGCAGCGTACATCAGCCCGAGGACAGTGTTCGGAGTTAGCTCCACCTCATCCGTGTAGAGATACCTGGTGATGAAATGTTAATGTAACATAGAAGAATCTCACACTTGTGTCTTTTGATATCAGATATATCAACACAAGTCAATAAAAGTTAAAAACTCCAAGGCTTGCTTAGGATTTTTAAACTTTTAAAGATGAACATTGATATATTTGATTTTAGTCTGTTGTGTAATACTTCTTCTACTGTTTGCTTTAAATTTGTTATGAAAACATCTCAACTAACCTTAGAAAGGCCTTGAAGTTGTTTGTCTGTATATCAGAAATCAGTACTTGGCCCGTCTCGGGGATCGATCCACAGAACATCGCGTGAAACACGCAACTACGGCTGACTAAAATGAACTTGTGAGCTTAGATTGTCTCCCTTTGATCTCCAACAAGGAAGGTCACATCAGCCAACAACAAACTGTCCAACATGTGCAGGTTGGTTTCCGGGAAGGACTTCCCACCTTGCCAATTGCCAGCATCAGTTTCCATGATTTGCCTGGACAAACAATCGAAAACCATTCATATCTAAAAGGGAGGAGATCATTAACAAAATCCTCTTTCAGTGGGGAAGGAGGTGTAGGTGTGGGTGTCTACAACATACTACATTTGGTCCGGGGACCCCCTAGAACCCCCCTCTGGATCCGCCTATGGACAACCACACTGTATCTGAGTGTGACAATGTTCCCAGCAAGTGCGTGAAAGGATAGGGTGTTCAGGCTCTTTGGCTTGGGTGTATGCGTGTCATCGTTCTCCAACGGCGTGGATCGTGGCTCACAATATCCATCAGTGAATTATCTGGTCCCGCCTCATTCAATGTCAGACCGCCGTTATATAGTTTTAATATTGCTGCGTACAGCGTTGAACAACACAAAAAAACAAACGATCGACTAGCACGTGAGACGCTCCTTCCCAGTGTGTGACACATTTCTTACACTCCAGGTAACATGCTGCCACCAGTGTGGAATCTTCCATTACAAGAATCTTGAAATTTGCCCTCTGACCCTGGATGAAGTGACATATATTATTTTGTGTATGTTTTTGGTAATGCCATGCCATAGTAAATTTTGAAAAGGTTTAGAGCTGAATTACTATTTTTCTGACGAATTTACGTTTTGTTTGTTTCGTCAGGTTGGTTCCAAATTGCAGACAAACGGAAAAACACCCAACGTCCCCTTTAATTATAAACCAAAGTTGAAATGAAATAGTAATTCAAATTGACAACTAAGGAACAATTTATTTACGATTACTACATGTTGCAATGTCGGTAGCGAGTTCAACACCCTGCATGGTTGTGCCGTGTCCTAGTAGGGAGCTGTAACTTGTGGAAGCGATAGCATAGGTTCTACTAAACCAAATAAGAATCAGTCGTTCGACAAGCAGTTTTCGTAGAGTGCCTCAGAGCTTTCAGTGAAGATTGAATGAGCTAGCAGCTGTGATTGGATGATTTTGTGTAAGATCCTTTTATGTTTTAAATGTGCTTCCATCCAGTAATTTAAGTGCTCTCCTTTCTTACATGATGCTGAATGTGACCACAAATATTTTCAAGCAGGTGACATTTGGTGCGGAACTGGGGCTGGTTATTTAGCGCCACGAACACGAAGGTGAGGTGAAATGGGGTTTAACGTCGCGTCCAAGATTATTGCACTTATATAGCGACGTGCATGCAAGTGTATGTGTGTGTGTGTGTGTGTGTGTGTGTGTGGCTGCTTGTACTAGTCCGGACTGATGCCGATTTATAGTGCTAGCACACTGAGATACCATGCCGCAGTTTAACATGAATACCCCACTCAGACACAGTATACTGACTCCGAGCAGACCAGTCCTTGTTTTAGCCCCTTAATGCCGAGCGCCAGACAGGGTAACAACAAGTACCATCTTTTAACGTCTTTTGGTATGACGCGGCCGGGGATCGAAACCCGGACCTTCCGCTCTCCGGGCGGACGCTCTACCATTAGACCTCGGAGGCGGTGCCACGAACTCGAAAAAGGAGCTGGTTAAGCTAGGCAATTCGTTGTTTGTATTGCTGCTTTTAGGCGAAACTGTTCACACATGTATATGTAATGGTTGTTGAATGCTTAGTTAATTTTATAAACAATATAGAACGTTACTATGTAAGCACATGGGAAAACATTTGGTTATGTGTAACCTGTACAGAGCTTTGTTATTGCTGTGAGGCGAGCACCAAGGGAGATAACCAGGGATAGACATTAGGACTTCAAGTTTCGATTTATAAATACCTGCGTTCATCAGTACTAACTGGCTAAAGTGACCTGTGGACTAAATGAGCTGCAACTAGGTGAACACAAGTATGTAAATGTCACGCAAACACTTCATATATGTATAACCATTGATTTACATATGGGACAGACACCACGAGTCAACACCACCAGGTCTTGCTTCCTGGTTGTAGTCACATGACATCTACAGTCTCACCTAAATACAAAGGCAGTCGAGTGCACGCCTACAATGTTATTTCCTTTCATATCAACACTGGCGCAGTCCCTCCTGTGTTTGGAGAGGAGCTGTGGGTCGTGTTTATAGGACACATCTGGGTGCATTGTACAAAACATCCTCGGCGCTACGACTGTCCTAAGTCCATGCTAAGGTATGGGAGTTGCGATCACCTCAGCGCTACGACTGTCCTAAGTCCATGTTAAGGTATGGGAGTTGCGATCACCTCAGCGCTACGACTGTCCTAAGTCCATGTTAAGGTATGGGAGTTGCGATCACCTCAGGGCTAAGATCGCTTTGTACAAGGGCACCCTGTAAAGTTTTCCACCCTACAAACTCAACTTGCCCGATTTCCCAATGTTTGATAAAGTAACTAAACTTAGCCAATACTCTGAACCTCTTTTTAATCACAAGAAATAAGGTCTCAAAATAAGACTCAAAACTTAAAAAAAAATTTTATCCTACATTGAAAATTTGAACTGGTCGCTTATGATCAGATGATATAAGGATCGATTTTCAATCATTATACGCTGTCTTTTGAAAGGCAGAAGGCATTCCGAGCTGATTGTTTTTCAGTCAATTCGTGTCCCGCGCACTGCGATGACACCAGCATTATTTGTGTTGACAAAGGAGAATATATCGAACCTCTCGTGAGCTTTCACTCTTTGAAATATATCATGTTTACAATTCAGTACATGCTAATATCTTTCAAAAGTTTCAGAATAGCGAATAAACGTGACTATTCTATTTCAATCTGTTGAGTATTTTTATGGAACACTCACTGTTTACATGTTGTGTTGTGACAGCACCAACAAATTCTACAGCCTGGTCGTATATCTCACACACCTTACTGTTACTCTCTGTTAGTCAACGCGTGTTGATACTTGTGTGAGTTCGAAATGTCCGCGCGTTTCTTTTTCTTTTTGTTATATTTGAATATCTCTACACAACTTCAGAATATAACGAATACTGCCTTCCTTTATCGCAATGAGGTGATATGGCTTAAAGTATACTGACGTGAGATGTTGACTCTCTATATGCAGTTGACAGTGAGTGAGCTGGGTTTAGGCCGCTTTAAACAATATTCCAGTAACCAGGATTCGAACCTACGAACATAGATTCCTGGAGTGCCAAAGGGACACAACTCGGCACAGCGAATTGCGGCGCCTCAGACGACTGGGCCAGTGGTGCCCACGTATACACTAGTAGTATTGGTGGTTATAGTAGCTCTAGTAGTATTTTTGTCTAGAAATGAATTAGTTGGCAGATTGTATGTAGTAGAGTTGTTGTTGTGGTTGTCTTGGTTGTTACTTATTAGTTTGTTGTGTGTAGATGTTTTTGTTGTAGTAGTGACTGTAGAAAAAGTAATAGTAGTAGTGGTAGTTGTATTCATTGTTGTAGTGATGTTATGTTAGGCGTATTAGGAATCCAGGCGATCTATATGTCAATTTGATACTATTAAATATTAGTTACATAGGACACTGCACTGGGACATCGTGCTCACAATTGTGGTCACCAGGTCGACGTCCTGCGAATACCCGACCGCCTCCGTAGTCTAGAGGAAGAGCGTCCGCCCGGAGAGTGGAAAGTCAGGGGTTCGATCCCCGGCCGCGTCATACCAAAAGACGTTAAAAGAAAAATGCTTGTTGTGACCTTGTCTGGCGCTCGACATTAAGGGCCAAAACAAGGACTGGTCGGCTCGGAGTAAGTATTCTGTGTCTGAGTGGGGTATTTATGTTAAACTGCAGCATGGTGTCCTAGCACTATACATTCGCATCAGTCCGGACTAGTACAAGCAGCACCCCCACACACGTACATGTACGTCGCTATATAAGTGCAATAATCTTGGACACAATGTAAACCCCATTTCTCCTTACCTCACCTCACTAGAGAATTACCGCTTTAGTAAGTTAATCGTCAACATCAGAGTATGACAACTCTACATTATCTTACGAAACAGATTCCATTTGGGGCAAAAGAGAAAATAGCGGTGAAAATAGTATGAATGGAACACTGATAATGACCCACCCCAAACATTTCTTTTGTATTTGATTCAGCATCAATTATAAACGCTACTGAGCTTATGATGAAACTCGGAGACTTCAGTCCACCAGAAGAACAATCGACCCAGTTCAAGTGAATTTTTCCCAATCTCGAGAACAACCAACGATGGTCAGATGTTAGTATCTAACATCAAGCAAAGGTCAACAACTTGGTTGGACATGGTTATAACATAAAGTTATATCCCTGTAATAACTTAAAGCAGCGCGACAACAGTACTGAAGGGAGTGTGAGTTTCCTCAATGAAAGCGACACAATTATTTTATATTCATCAGTTTGTAAGTTTGTTTGTTGTTTAACGCCACACACAGCAGTATTCCATCTATATGACCGCGGTCTGTAATTAATCGAGTCTGGACCAGACAATCGAGTGACTGATATCATGAGCATCGATCTACGCAATTGCGACATTTCACAGAACCTTTATATTTTATAGAACTCATGTGTAGATTATAGTTGTTGTTGTAACGGATCTGATTGTTTGGCTGTCGTCGTTGCCTGACGACGTTGGTCATTGCATCCACAGTAAAGCAGCCCTTGAAATTATGAGAAGTGAAAAACGGTTTAATTTCATGAGTTCAAGATAAATGTGTCTTTATTGCAGCCTTGTGAAACCTGGTTGTCCACTGCTCTCAACAATATGCAAAACACACAAACACACACGCACGCACATACACTCACACAAACACACACTCGCACGCACAAATGCACACACGTACACACACAAACAAGTACGCACGCACACACAGATACACACGCACACACACAGACACACACACGCACGCACGCACACATTCACACGCTGTTCCTTGTTCCTTTTTTTTAAATCAGTCAACGCATGTAGCAATGTATTGTTTTGTGATATATACTCCTTTGTAACGTTATGGATAATATCGTTTTATTAAAGGAAAAGACTGGAAATATACTGATACTCATTGAATATTGAAACGAGACATAAATAAATAGCTGTACCATGACTGAAAGTTAGTGAGTGAGTGAGTATGGTTTTATGCAGCTTTAAGCAATATTCCAGCAATATCACGGCGAGGGACACAAGAAATGGGATTCAGACATTGTAACCATGTCGGAAATCGAACCCGGGTCTTCGGCGTGACGAGCGAACGCTTTAACCACTAGGCTACCAGACCGCCCCCACCATGAATCAAAGCCCCACAATGACGAACATGTTTATAGTCAGAACAAATTTTATGAGCGTATTGGATCGTTTGTCGTTGGATATTTCAACTTTATAAAGCTAGAGGTATGTTAAAATAACATAGCATTGTACGTATCATTCTATGGGTGAAAGGTGATTCAAATAACATTTTGCTTCCACAGTTCAAATCAAATTGGATGATATGGAGAAAGCATTCCATCAGCATCGTAGTTTTTACCTGGACGATGGTTTTGGTCATTCGGTGTCAACCTATAGGCCGGTTTTGTTTACAATGTAGAAAAGTCTGTATGGAATCCTCAAACTAGACTAGAATGGCTTGGCTTTATCTGGGATCTAGACTCGCGTATCCTATCTGTTCCGTCTATTAAATTGGAAGATGTTAGGAATAGATTTGCAGGGTCCCTTGCATGTCTTCCACGTTTTACAGTCTGAAGCTTAGCTAGTTTGACAGGGAGGGTCATATCTCTTTCTCAAGTAATGGGGGACATCTGCAGGCTGTTGACCAAAGATGCACACAGAAATTCAGAGGGCAGTATCCTGGGACAGAATGATTAGGTTAGTTAATCCTGAGTGCGTCTATGAGCTTATGTTTTGGAGGGACAATGTTTCCCTTTTGAACTGTCGGACTTCATGAATTCAGATGCCAGTGATTTGGGCTGTGCTGGTTATATACAACATACTGAATACGTTTTTCAATACAGCTGGGATTTGGATCAAGTTAAGTGCAGTTCACCATGGAGAGAGACGAAAGCTGTGGCATTAACTTTGATTGCATTTTCAAACATATTGCGCAATAAGACTGTAAAATGGTTTACAGATAGCAAGCCATGTTGTCATTTCGCAACATGTGGTAGTTTTAAAACGCATTTACAGAAACCAGCTATGTCAATTTTCGTTACAAGCTAGTATACACAATCAAATTCAATTGGATTGGAAGGTCAGAAAATGAGAAAGCTGACCCTTTAAGCGATTTGAAGATTCAGATGAAAGGATAGTTACAGATACAATTTTCAGGATCCTGGATGCAAGATGAGGGCCACATTCAGTCGACAGAATCGCAAATCACATTCATACAAAGTTGGTACGATTCAATTCCAGATCTTTGGATCCGAGGCAGTCAATGCGTTTACACAACAGCAGCAAAGAGACAACAACTGGGCTGTACCACCTGTACATCTGGTTTAAAAAACAATCAGATTCGTTCTGAGTAACAAGGCTCCTACATCTATGGTTGTACCTATATGGCCATCTGCATGAAATTGGCCTGTCTTGTTTGATGGTGACAAACCAATATGTTGTATCGCAGATATACTACAACTTAAAGACGATTTAAGGTGGAAGCAAAGCTTCTGTGTTTGATTCATTTAACGTTCTGGCCATTAGAATTAATTCAATTTGATGTTAATATTGCAGATGTGTTTGGTCTGGGCCTCTCGAAGGAGAAAGATTCTCGGTTCATAAGGATTGGATCAGTTTGGCAGGAAAAATGCCAGAAATAGTGTCAAGATCAAAAGCAACTGCCACTGTCAATAAGTACAAGAGAGCTTATATTCTATGGACACATTGAGTTCACATTTTCTAGAGGTGCCTTGTTTACCAGCAAAATCTTTTCATGTTGGTTTATATCTCACCCCTCTTCTCCAAGGAGGTAAGAAATCACATTATGTTGTTGCAGCAATCTATGATATTAGTTGGGCACACCAAGTAGCAGGTTCAATAGATCCATTGCAGTTCGATCTCATAAAAATATCAGAGCAGCAATTATAGTAGTCCCGTCCAGAAGAAAGAGCCAGTTGATAAGGATATGCTGAAGAAATGTTTGTGTTTTTGGAAAGGAAGGTTGTTCCCCGTTTAATTTAAGATTTCTGACTATGTATATTTTCTCGTATGGAGGCTTTTTCAGATTATCTGAAGTTGTACATATAAAACGTGCAGACCTATGTTTTCATGATGGATATGTTCATATTTCCATTGAAAAGGGAAGACAGATGTGTACAGAGCTGGTAGATATGTATTGATTTCGGCCTCCGGGTCCAAACTTTGTCCAGTGAATATTTTGGGTCAATATTTGACAGCTGCAAATATTAAGCAGGATTCTGAGGAGTATATATTTCGTCAAATTAGTTGGGAAAAAAGTAAGGAAAAAAGTTAGGCAGTTATAAAGTGAAGGGAGAAAAGCCTCTTTCGTATACTCGAGCAAGAGAAATATTTCTTGAAAAGTTTAAATGTATTGGTGAAGATGTGTAAGAAAACGGAAACAGCCGCCGCCAACGCCGGGGTACCCGACAGGTTGTTCAAGAGACACGGCCGCTGGGCCTCTGACAAATCAAATTAGGGTTATGTCAAAGACAATTTAACAGAATTATTAAAGGTGTCATCTTTTTGGGGTTTGTAAAAGTCAGTAACATGTTTACATTTACCCCTTCGTTTTTATTTCGAGCTACGGAAGGCATATCCCTTGAGATACCTATGTTGTACATAAAAAAATTGTACAAAATTATGTTCGTTAGAGCGAAGCCAATTAGAACATAAATTAATTCATTATGGGTTAAATACGGTACATAAGTGTTTGCCTGCCGCAGCAGGTACATTGCGCGTGAATGTGGTGTCACGAGGTCACGTGAGGAAGGTGAAGTGTAGAGTTCACTGACTGTTGAACAATTCGAGGCCTTCGCATCACACAGGAAAGCATATTTTACATCTTGCTAAATATTGGCTCAAGAATTTGAGCTCACAAAGCGTTGGAGTGTTTAGCTGATTGGCAAAGTTGAGCCGTTGGGCAAAGTTGAGCCGTATAGCAGATCCGAGTGATACGATGGGTTAGGTGATATGGGAACATTTCTGAAACATTTCTGAATAATAACAACAACAAAACTTCCAAGTTGTATCTCGTTTTCTCTGGTCACAATTTAAGTTTGGAATTGTATATTTAGGCGTTTGACGAGTGTATTTATTTGTGATTGTTAATAAACCTGCTCGCTTTTCAGCTGCGGTAGGCATAACCCTTGACAACATGGTCAATATTTTATGTTTGTTAGAGCGAAACGAATTAGAACATAATAAATTAATCTGTAGCTTATATATATACAATGTTGGTCTAATGGTATCATAATCATCAGTTGCAACTACATACAATGACATACAATACGTATTAGTTGATGAAGTTAATTGTAACAACATCTTTGTACTGAAGGTATGTCATCAAGATGGCCCTTCTTCATTGCGGAAAGGCAACACGTTTGAAATTCTGAAAACTGAGATATGGGGCCACATTTAGTTTTTCAGCTTTAATCGCTTATATAAATGTATATAAATTGTCTAATTCTATTATTAGCCTTAGTTGCAACTGTATACATTGACACACACACACACACACACACACACACACACACACACACACACACACACACACACACACACACACACAAACACACAAACACACACACACAAACACACACACAAACATACACACACACACACACAATGTTATGATCTTAGCAACCTGTTTCTCCTGGTAGGTACGTCCTTAATGCAGACTCGGAAATGAAACTTAATTACAGACGTGGTATGACATATAAAAGAAGATCAAGCATCAAATGCCAAATATATATACCACTCATGCGCTGCTGACCGTAATTAGTACCTGTTTACATTACAGGCGTACACAGACGGAAGAGTTGGCAGGAGAGTTGTCCCACAGTCGCCTTTTGGTAAATACACTACAGGGTGAAAAGATAAGTACACTACAACTCGAAGAAAAACCCTGTAAGCAATCCATAGTCTAGGCTGTTGTTAGATTGACTCTCCTTACAGTGCTCCAGTGTCCACACAACACCTGATGTTTCATGTGTCATCAATCTCTGGTTGTTCATTGTACACGTATTTACTTTATGTTCATTGCCCTCCCTAGTGACTTTGATTTTTATCTTCTTTCCTTTGCTGACAGACAGAGGTGAAGGGAACATCACCACATCTGAGAGTTGTCCCTCTGTCACCTCCAGGTCCTGGTGGTGCTGCAGCAGGGTTGTGTCATCACTGTCAGTAACAACTATGTCTACAGACCCCTTGTCCGCCATCTTCCCAGCATACATGCTCAGCCCGGTCAGGTGAACACTGGCATCACAGGATATGATCAACGCATCACGTAGACATTTACATAAGATAACAATCCTTTTGGGCTCTTGGTCAGGAGGTAAGCGAGACAAGTTATAGACAGGAGATTTCCGAGATATGTCACAGAACGGCCGTATATCCAGGTCGCTTATGGCGTATTTTCTAAATAACATCAAGGCATGGTTATCACTTAAAATACCTTCATTGCAGACAGTTGTGGCAAATTTCACCATTGACATAGATGGAAAGCGAATGAGAAACAAACACTCTCCCAAAACTTGTCTTTTCTCTTCTGGAGCTACTTCCCTTCCCTGACGTCTACATTCAGCTTCCGCCCACGACATCACAGATCGGAAGATGCAAATCTCGTCAACTCTCATGTCAACTGCCTTCAGGATTAGCTTTAGACATTCCTTGCTTAGCTCACGGAATCCCTCGCTAGCAACACTCACCTCGGCATTGGATTTGATTACTTTAAGAGCTCTTTCTTTAAGGTCTTCTTTATCAAACAGGTCTGCTTGTTGTAGAAATAAACATGCGTTGCTAGGCGACAAAGATTGTAAGCAGAACTCCTCACATTGCTTTTCCAGTCCTGTGATGTTGTATTTCCTAGCAGCGTACATCAGACCAAGGACAGTGTTAGGTGTTAACTCCACCTTCCCCGTGTAGAGATACCTGGTGATGAAATATTATGATGTTTTATACAGAATCTCACCCGGGTGGTATCAATGTATGCTCAGAGGCGTGCGTGCGTGCGTGCGTGCCTGCGTTCATACATCCCTTTGTTCATGCCAGAACCATTCATCAAAATTGTCTTGCGTGTTATCCTTCTTCTACTGTTTGCTTTAAATGTGTTATGTAAATTTCTCTACTAACCTTAGGAAGGCCTTGAAGTTGTCTATCTGTATATCAGGAATAAGTACTTGGCCCGTCTCGGGGATCGATCCACAGAACATCGCGTGAAACACGCAACTTCGGCTGACTAAAATGAACTTATGAGCCTGGATTGTCTCCCTTTGATCTCCAACGAGGAAGGCCACATCAGCCAACAACAAACTGTCCAACATATGCAGGTTGGTTTCCGGGAAGGACTTCCCACTTTGCCAACTGTCAGTTGCCATGATGTGCCTGAACAAACAGAATGAAACACTCTATATTCCCACGGAGGAAAACTGAAAAGTTTAAATTTAACTGAAAAGGTTTTTGTTTTATAAAACCTTTATACTGGGTGGCAAAATGATGGAGTCGCAAGATGGGCCAGGGTGAAGATCACGGGCTGGACTCCCGAATTTGTCCTCATCGTTATCCTTGGTTTGTCACCACAATGCACTTATATTTCACAAACACAGAATCGACCTAATCCAAACTGGGCTTCAAACCACACTCAGATGTCACTCATAACACCCACACTATAGATGTCACTCACTCATTTCACTCACACGTAGATGTCACTCAATCCACCCACACACACTAAGATGTCACTCACTCACTCCAACCACACTAAGATGTCACTCACTCACTCCACCCACGCTAAGATATCACTCAATCCACCCATACTAAGATATCACTCACTCAACCCACGCTAAGATGTCACTCACTCACTACACCAACACGTAGATGTCACTCACTCCACCCACACTAAGATATCACTCACTCACTCCACGCACACTCAGATGTCACTCATAACACCCACAATAAGATGTCACTTCCTCACTCCACCCACAATAAGATGTCACTCACTCCACTCCACCCACAATAAGATGTCACTCACTCACTCCACCCACACTAAGATATCACTCACTCCACCCACACTAAGATGTCACTCACTCCACTCCACGCACACCAAGATATCACTCACTCACTCCACTCATTATGTTGCTTCCATTACGAATGAGTAAATATGATTATGCTTACATTGTAATTCAAACTGTAAGGAAAGTTTATTGAAGCTAACATACGATAAGCCCGTATCTTGTAAGACCCCCCTATATAGAAGACCTCACTGAATCTGACTGTGGCTACGTTCCAAGCAAGCGTGTGAGAGAATAGGGTGTTCAAGCTATGTGACTTTGCGTGTCGTCGTACCCCGACCGCGTGGATCGTGGCTCACAAGATCAATCAGAGCATTATCTGGTCCCGTCTCATTATTTACAGGCTGAAGTCATATGTTTTTGATAATGCTGAGTACGGTTTTGAACAACAAAAACAAACGATGAGTCTGATCGCCTGTTACGAACAAGCTCCTTCCCAGTGTGGGACACCTTCGTTACACTCCCAGTAAAATCGGTCACCAGTGTGGTAACGGCTATAACAATAATCTTGAAATTGGCCCTCTTGTGAATGACTGTAAATTTGGGAATTCCATACCAAAATGAATTTTGAAAAGGTTTAGCACTCCCCCTTACATTCTTACCACACCAATTAAATCATAGTGGAAATGAAATAGAAATTCAAATTGACACACAAAGAAAAGTATTTAGCTGGGGAAGAGTATTCGACATCACCAGTATTGTCGGTAGTTTAACTCCCTGCATGTTTGTCCCGTGTCCTAGTAGTGAGCTGTAACTGGTGGCAGCGACAGTATACATAAATATAGAGAGCTCCGCTATTGCCGTGAGGCGAACAGCAAAGGGAGATAATCAGGGACAGACATTAGGACTTCAAGTTTCGATTTGCCACTCCGTTCATCAGTACTAACTGATAAAAGCGACCTTTGGACTAAATGCGCTGCGTCTTAGTGAACACGAGACTAGTATGTACATGTCCCTGGAACACTTCACGATATGGAATCATTGATGTAAATATACGCTAGATGTATTTACCTGTATGTGTAACACCCTCAAGACCACACAACCCGTCTTGCTTCCTGGTTGAAGTCACGTGACATCTAAAGTCTCACTGAAATACAAAGGCTGTCGAGCGCACGTTTACAGTGTGCCCCTCTCATATCAACACTGACGCAGTCTCTCCTGTGTTTGGAGAGGAGTTGTGGGGCCAGGATATGTGGCACTTTATGTATCCTGGCTTCGTCTACTGTAGCCCAGATATGCTCCGCATTCACCTGCACGATGGACAATAGTGTATATATCTTATTGTAGCTGAATCTAAAATATAAACGCATTTCCGAATTATTCAACTCCATCTGACATCTGTGTTTTAAGTTACAGGTGCACAAGGGATAATGATCAGTACACTGTTGTTAAGAAATGTGGTATCCTTATTGGTACCTACTCAAGACACCAATTTGGCATTTGCCCACGAACATTTCTTACTGAATCAGACATCAGCAACTGATCAAAACATCTCAACTCTAGAAGGTGTCCATTTGCGTTTTGAATATATCTTAATTTTATCATTAAGCAATATTAGATTCACATGTTTTGTTTTTGTTGGATGACTCATTAATGTTATTTGTAACCTAAACATCACCATGGTCTTCACGCAAAACATTTAGCGAGATATTTCCATTGTCATTTGCATTGACAGTATTATGCCTACGTTCATTGTATGCCCAGAGCTATCTTTTGTCTTCGGTTCGCCGCGTCTTGTATGGTTGTCTCTCTCGGGAATGTTCAAGAACATTAGCATACGAAGGTCGGAGTGACCACATCGATTGTCTCGAATCTCGAAAGGGATTCTCACCAGGGAACACCTATTGTTAATAAACAGTCTAACGTCTTGCGTCTAGCTCTCGTCGCCGTTTAACAATTTCAGGTGGGGACTGTTCACTGACACAAACTTTGTGTCCTTGAGGTTCTTCGCACTCGTTAGAACGTTCCATCTCTCATCAGAGTTAGAGAACTTAGCCACTATCGTACGGGAACCATTTCGTGGTCCCATTCTATGAACTCTCACAAGGTTAATCTCTGTGTCACACTTCATCTCCCGCTTAATGAAGTCCTTTATGATATCTTTCGGCTCTTCGCCAATCATCTCCGGTATGCCATGAAATAGGAGGTTGTCTCTCATTGATCTCACTTTGAGGTCCACTACAGCCTACACTGGAGTTGCGTAAGTAGGGGCCAATTTTTCCCTATCGCTGTGCCTTTAACTTGTTTGTAATGAGAACCATCAAAATTAAAAGTATTAATGTTTAGAAAATACTTAATACTATCGATAGTGAATTCCGAGGTAATGTCTTCTCGGATTTCCGAACGGTGTTTATTTATCCAGTATTCAATAGCTTCTATGCCGAGATCATGGGGAATGTTTGAATATAAACTAACTACATCAAAACTGACTAACTTTGTACCATTACTGGTACAAACAGACATATCTAAGCTTATAATTGTGAAATGTTATAACACGAATAGCTTATAAGTGTAGCAGAATATTATTTAATCCGCTTCGGTTTTAATGTGCTGGATAATTGTAATTGTATTCATTGTTCCAGGGTGTCAGTTTATCATCAACAGAGAAATAAATAAACAGACCTCACATCCTTGTCTGTGTCATTATGTATTGCTACATATGCACGTATTTCTGGCTATAACAGTACGAATGGTGACCCTCAGTCACCCGAACCTCTTAATGCTGATCAGGGTTCAGGGGTGAATACACTACCCAGTAAGCAATCCATATTCAAGGCTGTTGCTAGATTGACTCTCCTTACAGTGTTCCAGTGTCCACACAGCACCTGATGTTTCATGTGTCATCAAAGGCTGGTTGTTCATTGTACACGTATTTACATCATGTTTATTGCCAGACCTGGTGACTTTGATTTTTATCTTCTTTCCTTTGCTAACAGACAGAGGTGAAGGAAACATCACAACATTTGAGAGTTGTCCCTCTTTCACATCCAGGTCCTGCTGATGCTGCAGAAGGGTTGTGTTATTACTGTCAGTGACAACATGGGTATGGGTTTCACTTAAAATACCTTCATTGCAGACAGTTGTGGCAAGTTTCACCATTGACATAGATGGAAAACGAATGAGAAACAAACATTCTCCAAGCACTTCTCTTTTCTGATCTGGGGTTACCTCCCTTCCCTGACGTCTACATTCAGCTTCCGCCCACGACATCACAGATCGGAAGATGCAAATCTCGTCAACTCTTTTGTCATCTGCCTTCAGGATCAGCTTTAGCGATCCTTGCTTAGCTCACAGAATCCCTCGCTTGCAACACTCACCTCGGCATTGGATTTAATTACCAGAAGAGCTCTTTGTTTCAGGTCTTCTTTATCTGCTTGTTGCAGGAATAAACATGCGTTGCTAGGCGACAAAGATTGTAAGCAGAACTCCTCACATTGCTTTTCCAGTCCTGTGATGTTGTATTTCCTTGCAGCGTACATCAGCCGAAGGACAGTGTTAGGAGTAAACGCGACCTCCCCCGTGTAGAGGTACCTGGTGATGAAATGTTAATGTTATGTACAGAATCTCATCCGTTTGGGTTTTGATAATGTTATGTGAACAGGTATTACACGCTGTTACTGGTTGGTATACAGAAACTATGGAATATCAGTGTAAACATACCTGCTAGGCAGACAGCGAACACATCAGAAACGACCGAATGATGTAATTACAAGTCAGAACAGATAATAGAAACAAAACACGTTTGTATACTTGTGTAATAATATTCAGTATTTAAACTTCAGACCAGTCAGAAACGAGCGAAAATTGTCTGTCATTGACTTCTCCACATCTTCATCAACACAAACGAATAGCATCATCATTGTATTCTCATAGGCGTGCGTGTATTAAATTGTATATTATCTAAAATGCATTTTGTGTTTTAACCTTCAGCTCTGTTGCTTATTATAAATATGTCAACTAAACATCTCAACTAACCTAAGAAAGGTCTTGAAGTTGTCTGTCGGTATATCAGGAATCAGTACTTGGCCCGTCTCGGGGATCGATCCACAGAACATCGTGTGAAACACGCAGTTACGGCTGACAAAAATAAATCTGTGAGCCTGGATTGTCTCCCTTTGATCTCCTACGAGTAAGGTCACATCAGCCAACAACAAACTGTCCATCGTGTGCAGGTTGGTTTCTGGAAAGGACTTCCCACTTTGCCAATTGTCACCATCAGTAGCCATGATGTGACTGAACAAACACTCTGTATTGCCACTGAGGAAAACTTTAAATTTAACTGAAAACGTTTCTGTTTTCTTCAAACCTTGATACTGGGTGGCCAAATGATTCGCAATATGGACCAGAATATGGCAATCGCGGGCTCGGATCTCGGATTCGTCTTGATACATCCTTTGTTTGACAGCACCAACACGGAAACGACCTGCTCCACATTGGGCTTCCATCCCACACTAAGATGTCACTGCTTGTTTAACTGACCATGTTTTTCTATATTTTGTGTTATCTTTTGTTTAACATGATGACTTCTGCTGGATGTGACCACAGTATTTTCAAGCAAGTGACATTTGATGCGGAACTGGGGTGGTGTGCTTAGCTTCCTGAACTCGGAAAAGGAGCTGCTAAGCTGGTCAATGATTTTGTTTTTATTGCTGCTTAAAGGCCAGACTGTACTGTGCTGTTGAATGCTCAGTTAGTTTGTTAAAACATGTAACGTTAATATGGAAGCCTATGTAAAAACCTATGGTTATGTATAACCCAGCTAAAGCATAACATTTTCAAAACATTTTCAAAAGGTTTCATTTTAGGCTTTCCAAAACATTTTCGTCAAAACATTGTATTAACGTTTTAGATGTTTTACAACTATTCAAAATGTTATTGAAATCATATGAATAAGGTGTAAATGTTTTATAATTATTCACAATGTTATTGAAATGTTTTTAAAATGTTTGTCAAGAACATCATGCCATAATGTAGACGATACTGTTTCATAACATGTTTTTACAATGTTTTCAACACTTTGCAGAAATATTATGCTATAACATATTTGTTATCGTCATGTATTAAAGTGAATACCGATTGCCACCCCAACAGGGAAGAAACTTTGTACTTTGCCGGTCACTAGCCTGTCTTCTGGGCGTTCGGTTTTCGATCGTAAGCGTATACTGTTGTAAGGATAAAATGTAAATTTCCAATTGTATTGGGATGTTCATACGAAAATTTTGAAATCGGTTACAATCTCCTATATCGAATCAGGGATCCTGTCTTGCTTCTATTGTGTCTGTTGTGATTGTATTTTACATCTCAGACCTGAACTCATGCTTATGGCGTCCGAGCTGTGTGCAGCTCTTGTCCACGGGCAGAGAAATAGCAACAAACCAAACCGTTGATAGTTGCAATGATGTAGTTGCATTATACATAAAGTTAGTGACATAGAAATTATGAGTTAGAAAGGAATTAATAGAGAGAAGACATTATATACATAACGTTCGTGAAAGAAAACTGTCAGCTAGAAAGGAATTAATAGAGAAAGGATATTTAACATTAATCAAAAGAGTATTCTGGACATTTCATATCTATCCAATGGTGAAGATCCGGGGTAGAATAGGTCTTCAGCAACCCATGCTTGCCGTAAAAGGCGACTGTGCTTGTCGTAAGAGGCGACTAACGGGATTGGGTGGTCAGGCTTGCTGACTTGGTTGTTGCATGTCATCGTATCCCAATTGCGTGGATCGATGCTCATGAAGTCAATCACTGGATTGTCTGGTCCAGACTCAATCATATACAGACCGCCGTCATATAGCTGGAATATTGCTGAGTGTGCCGTTAAACAACAAACAAACAAACAATCAAACCAATCAACCACCGCCCGAGATCGCCTTCTAGCGGCCAGGGGCTTCATCCCAAGTCTCCCCAGCTGTACTCATGGTCAGGAGAAGCCACATACAGTATCTGCAGGTCAACCACGAGCCAACATTGGTGTTGCCATACCTGGGGTAGGTCGTTGTTAAGGTGCCCTCAGCAATCGTTATGGTGTCATAGTGAGTGAGTGAGTGAGTGACGAACGCTTTAACCACTAGGCTTCAACATCGCCCCTGATGTATAAGTGGACAGAAATGACAGTGATCAGCTTTGCAGTATAGTTTCCTAAATGGTACCTACTCCAGAAACCAATTTGACATTTGCCCACAGAGACGCCTTACTGAATAAGAATAATTAATAATAAAGCGACAAAAAAACTTTCCATATCCAATAATAATCTCTGCATAAAGCAAAGTCGATTGTCAAATCCGACTTTATCATGAGCATGTGTTTATGAATCACTATCAAATAGTATTGATACCTGGTGTTCGCAAAAGGTGAGCGTATCCTGCCCCACCGGTGGCACCCGTCACAGATACATGCAAAGGCGTATCAACTGTTCACCTGCAAATACACAGGAACATTTGGTATAAGTCAAATTAGGGAAATGCATCGGGCATCATTTTTGTCACTGGTGCGTCAAATTTGAAATGTCCTCCACATGTCTACCACAAAACTTTTTGAAGGCTAAACTGAGGCCTTGAATGTTGTAACCTTGACGCATGACGCTGTTTGAAATCTAAGATGAAACGCGTTACTGAATCAGACATCAGCAAGGACACCCGTATCTCAGTACGTGAATCAATCACTCAGTCGTCCATTTGTGGTGGACAAGTCTTTGTCAGGTGTGGCTGCAGTGGTCATTAAAAATGCCATGCATACTATTTTGTGTTTCAAGGAAAACCTGAAATGCATCAACCGCTTTCACTATAGCTTAAATTACTAGGATACATAATCAGTTCACTTAGCGGCAATATGCCAGGGCCATATGTCTGTAACGTGTGTGTGAAATAAAATTCTCTCTTTTGATGATTTCTTCGGGAAACTGCTTAATCACTTCTTGAATTATCTGGTAATGAATTACAATTATTTCATGAAATGACCAGAAATGATTTTTTTCATTTCACAGTCTGACTAACACAGCAAGTAAAAGATCACTGAGATAGGGCCCCATTCAACAAGACGATCTCAGCTAAGATTGTCGTATACTCCGATACTTGAACACAGGCTTACGATAGTCGTAGCTCTGAGATGGCTTTGTGAACCTTGACCCAAAAATACACTCAAGCAATGGGTTTTAGAAATCAGCCGTACACTCAAGTAATGGATTTTAGAAATCAGCCGTACACTCAAGTAATGGGTTTTAGAAATCAGCCGTACACTCAAGTAATGGATTTTAGAAATCAGCCGTACATTCAAGTAATGGGTTTTAGAAATCAGCCGTACATGCAAGTAATGGGTTTCAGAAATCAGCCGTACACTCAAGTAATAGATTTTAGAAATCAGCCGTACACTCAAGCAATGGATTTTAGAAACCAGCCATACACTCAAGTAATGGATTTTAGAAATCAGCCGTACACTCAAGTAATGGGTTTTAGAAATCAGCCGTACACTCAAGTAATGGATTTTAGAAATCAGCCGTACATTCAAGTAATGGGTTTTAGAAATCAGCCGTACATGCAAGTAATGGGTTTCAGAAATCAGCCGTACATTCAAGTAATGGGTTTTAGAAATCAGCCGTACACTCAAGTAATTGGTTTTAGAAATCAGCCGTACACTCCATCAATGGGTTTTAGAAATCAGCCGTACACTCAAGTAATGGATTTTGGAAATCAGCCGTACACTCAAGTAATGGGTTTTAGAAATCAGCCGTACACTCAAGTAATGGGTTTTAGAAATCAGCCGTACACTCAAGCAATGGATTTTAGAAATCAGCCGTACACTCAAGTAATGGCTCTTAGAGACCAGTCGTACACTTAAGTAATGGATCTTAGAGACCAGACGTACACTCAAGTAATGGCTCTTAGAGACCAGCCATATACTCAAGTAATGGATCTTAGAGATCAGCCGTATACTCAAGTAATGGATCTTAGAGACCAACCGTATACTCAAGTAATGTGTCTTAGAGACCAGCCGTACACTTAAGTAATGGATCTTAGAGACCAGACGTACACTCAAGTAATGGATCTTAGAGACCAGCAGTATACTCAAGTAATGGATCTTAGAGACCTGCAGTACACTCAAGTAATGGATCTTAGAGACCAGACGTACACTCAAGTAATGGATCTTAGAAGACCTGCAGTACACTCAAGTAATGTGTCTTAGAGACCAGCCGTACACTCAAGTTATGGATCTTAGAGACCTGCAGTTCACTCAAGTAATGGATCTTAGAGACCTGCAGTACACTCAAGTAATGTGTCTTAGAGACCAGCCGTACACTCAAGTTATGGATCTTAGAGACCAGACGTACACTCAAGTAATGTGTCTTAGAGACCAGCCGTACACTCAAGTTATGGATCTTAGAGACCAGCCGTACACTCAAGTAATGGATCTTAGAGACCTGCAGTACACTCAAGTAATGTGTCTTAGAGACCAGACGTACCCTCAAGTAATGGATCTTAGAGACCAGACGTACACTCAAGTAATGTGTCTTAGAGACCAGCCGTACCCTCAAGTAATGTGTCTTAGAGACCAGCCATACACTCAAGTTATAGATCTTAGAGACCAGACATACACTCAAGTAATGGATCTTAGAGACCAGCAGTACACTCAAGTAATGTGTCTTAGAGACCAGCCGTACACTCAAGTTATGGATCTTAGAGACCAGACGTACACTCAAGTAATGGATCTTAGAGACCTGCAGTACACTCAAGTAATGGGTCTTTGAGACCAGACGTACCCTCAAGTAATGTGTCTTAGAGACGAGGCCGTACCCTCAAGTAATGTGTCTTAGAGACCAGCCGTACACTCAAGTAATGTGTCTTAGAGACCAGCCGTACACTCAAGTAATGTGTCTTAGAGACGAGGCCGTACCCTCAAGTAATGTGTCTTAGAGACCAGCCGTACACTCAAGTAATGATTCTTAGAGACCAGCCGTACACTCAAGTAATGTGTCTTAGAGACGAGGCCGTACACTCAAGTAATGTGTCTTAGAGACCAGCCGTACACTCAAGCAATGTGTCTTAGAGACCAGCCGTACACTCAAGCAATGTGTCTTAGAGACCAGCCGTACACTTAAGCAATGTGTCTTAGAGACCAGCCGTACCTTCAAGTAATGTGTCTTAGAGACCAGCCGTACCTTCAAGTAATGTGTCTTAGAGACCAGCCGTACACTCAAGTAATGTGTCTTAGAGACCAGCCGTACACTCAAGTAATGGATCTTAGAGACCAGCCGTACACTCAAGCAATGTGTCTTAGAGACCAGCCGTACCTTCAAGTAATGTGTCTTAGAGACCAGCCGTACACTCAAGCAATGTGTCTTAGAGACCAGCCGTACCTTCAAGTAATGTGTCTTAGAGACCAGCCGTACACTCAAGTTATGTGTCTTAAGGACCAGCATTACACTTAAGTAGACACGTGAAGATTCGGGTTAGAGTATGTCTTCAGCAATCCATTCTTGCAGTGAGAGGCGGCCGTTGTAAGGGCAACTAACTGGATCGAGTAGTCAGGCCCACTGACTTAGTTGATGCATGTAATTGTATCCCAATTACTTGGATCGATGCTCATCATATCAATCATTGGCTTGTTCAGACTAGATTATTTTCAGACTGTCGTCATATAGCTGGAATATTGCCAGCTAGGTGTTAAGTAACAAACAAACAAAACTCAAGTAATTCGTGTCAATTTCAAAGAAATTAAATAATATTAATATGAATACTCCAAAGTAAAAGCAAATACACATCCCTGAAAATGAAATCAAATGTTTTTTAATTCCATTGCCCTTTATTTTGCAATTCCATAATATAATTTAGATATATTTGAGCTTTCAAGAAGTTCACACCGGGACCGTAGTGAGTCCCATCAACACTCCGAACCCCTCGCGTCATATTAAACGTATCAAACATGGGTACATTGTACATCTCCAAAACTGTCTCCATGTATCTGTTGAAGGGCTGGGCATGCTCATTGTCTACCCCTTTCACATTTGGTCGACGCCAGAGACCAAAGTGATGGACCCCGGACCAGAGTAGCTTTGGCCAAGTTCGTTTCTTGAATTTGTTGACCATGTTAATAACAGCCCTGGCATATTTCCCTGTGTCATCCCTGTTGAAGAATGTCCACACACCACACCCAAAGAAGAGGATAGACTTTGGTGTATCCCGGATCTTCTTGACATCTCTCATCATGTTCATTCTGTCATAGTTAGCTGTGTACTGCTTAAACAGAGCCCTAACTGTTCCGTTACACAGCGTCGGGGAATAATCCAGAAAGGCTCGACAGTTGTGGGTGGGGAAGACATAGTATCCAGAACACTTTTGTCTCACATCTGGAACAGAAAGTACACTTATGATATTGGTGGAAAATTAATCCTCACAGTGTAACAGGATACAATTTAATAATTGGAAGTTTACACGATAAACGGCTTTTCCATTGGTCAACTGTTAATTAAAATATAGGTTATTAGTCTCTCACTTAGAATCGCGTAAAAATATACTTTATGTCACGTGATTTTACATTACTGTACAAAACTGTAGCTTCCTTTTTCATCAACCACATATTCAACGTAGTTATTACATGAATCATAAGACTAAAATGTGAGCACAAGATATCAAATCCAAGTTCCCCTTTTTCCAATACACTATCAATAAAAAAACATATGGACCTGTTGTCTTCGCAAACAATGGCATATTTCGTTACATCAGCTAAATTAGACGACTTGGCCACTGCGATACCATGCCGCAGTTTAACTAGAATACCCCCACTCAACGTCTTTTGGGGTGACGCGGCCGGGGAGCGGGGACTTTCCACTCTACCGCTCTACGCTCTACCACTAGACCACGGAGGCGGTCTGTCATTTTAAGCAGATTCAAAGAGAAATGCTGAACAACTAAAAACATTATTATTATTATTCAAATTCAAATATCAGACACAGTTCTTTACTTCCTGGCCATCATCCCATACACTGTTTACATATACTAATGGTTACCAAGTCTGAGTTTTAATAATGACCCGTATATCATGACAAATTGACCTGATCCACAGAAATATGTTATATTGAATAGAAAACTCAAATCAAGTATCAACATACATACGTGTTGTATTATAACTTATAAAGCTTATGTTGAAAATAAAACGATGTACACAGAAATGGGAAATATAAAATCATTATGGAAAATAAGAAAAAAGTTTCCAATAGTCAACTTTCCTTTCGTGTCAAACATTATGCAACCAGCTGGAACTTTTGGTGTTTACATTTGGCAACTTTTGAGGCACAATCTAACATGCTCTTTCTACGAAGGTTTCAAAGAATGTCACTACGCAACTCTTGCTCAAAAGTTGTTTAATCAGGGTTACAACATTCAAGACCCTAGTAAAGCTTTCAAAACGTTTTATGTGGAGGACATTTCCAAATTTGATGAAACAGTGCATTAATTTCCCTACTTTGACTTGTGCCATATGTTCCTGTGTGGATAATTGTCTTGCCTTTGCATGTGTTTGTGACATGTTTCGCTGGTGGGCAAGATACGCTCACCTTTTCGCGAACAACTGGTATTATCAGTATTTGATACTAATTCATGAATATGACACACCTGATTTAGTTGGGATCGTACAATGGTCTGTGCTTTTAGCAGATACATCTTTGGTATCTTCTACATGATATTGGCCCACAGTTCACCTTTCAAATGAACATTTCAAACACAGACAAGAATCCGCTTTGATGATACACACAGGTCTCAGGCACCTCACGCTTCCATGAATGAGAGAGAGGAAATATTCCCACCCCACACTGTCCACCTCACAGCCATGTAATGTAATGACGAAAACAAGTTTACATTAATTTTATAAAACCCAAATATCCATGGCGATAACAAATATCGAAAAACAATAAGACTCAGAATTAACATAAACCATTTAATGGTAGGTCCCTTGAAAATCCGGGCTAGAATAGGCCTTCAGCAACCCATGCTTGCAGTAAAAGGTGACTATGCTTGTCGTAAAAGGCGACTAACGGGATCGGGTGGTCAGGCTCGCTGACTTGGTTGATGCATGTCATCGTTCCCAATTGTGTGGATCGATGCTCATGGTATCAATCACTGAAGTGTCTGGTCCAGACTCGATTATTTACAGACCGCCGTCATATAGCTGGAATATTGCTGAGTGCGGCGTAAAACAACAAAACAACCAACCGTTGAGAGAACATGGACGTTATGGGAACCAAAATGAATATAGACTCTGTAATTGTGAGGATCAGTATAGATTTAAGACAAGTATCACAGAAGTACACAGAAATAAACTAGTTCAGAATCATTCATTACGCAAACAACTGTTTTAGTCATGGTTGAAAACGGGGTATTTGACACCATTTGTAAAGGCTTTACCCCCATGGAACCTCATCGGGAATTACGTTTTTCTCGCCCCAGGAGGTTTCATCTCATCATTACCTTCAGTTAAGTAAGGATAAGAATTTATGGATGAACAACTTCTTTATTACAATTAAGAGCGACGTTTCGGTGTAGGTTCTAACACCGTTATCAAGCAAGTGATTTACAGAGTGTTGTTGTTGCATTAAGTGTTTAGGAGGTCGCCTTCTGCCCAGGCAATTTCGGCTGACCTGTCCCTCTTTGGGACTCCTGTGTGTGAGTAGGGTACACCTATCTATTGTGAGTTTGGTGTTCACATAATTTCTGTTTTTGTATTGACATAATTTCTATTTTCTTATATTGATATGATTTCATTTCTATCCTTGGCTGCTCTGTTTATATACGTTCGAGTAGCTGTCCATCTCTCAGAAATAGAGTTAGTTTGGCCTTCGCTATTGCATCTCTTGGCTTTAGGAGATCTATGACAGATAGCGGATCTCACTGCAATTCTTGTTTTAACCTAGCCCGGGCTGGGGCAAGGTCTTGACATTCTAGTAACACGTGATAAATGGTTTCAGCCTGATTGCAAGATGAACAAACCTTGTCATAGTGCTTTTTGTGACCGAGTCTGAGGCGTGAGATAGCAATTTCAATTTTCCTTTCATTTGAGTATGAGTTTGGCTTTTGTTGGACCTTGGGTTGAATTTTGTATAGCCCTTTTTTACAGAGTGTAGTAGGCAAGTATATATACAATTAGGAGGCAATGTTTATACAGTAGAGTAGATATTGTTATACTGGAGTAGAGAAGCCTGTTGTGTACACACAAGGGTAGTGATGACAATCATCAGTGAAGTCAGTGCCTTAACCAAAGGATGAAGTCAGTAATGTAAACAACACTCTACACTACTACACTCAGTAAATCACTTGCTTGATAACGGTGTTAGAACCTACACCGAAACGTCGCTCTTAATTGTAATAAAGAAGTTTTTCATCCATAAATTCTTATCCTTACTTAGTACTCCAACTTCTAAATGCCTATCAAAGAAGTTATTACCTTCAGTTGTCTACTGCGCTTGTCATGGCATCTGTGTTACACGAATGTACTTTGGAGCCAATGTGGTCTAGAAGTAAGTATTCTCAGTCTGTCATGTTACAGAGGCGGTCGGGTAGCCTAGTGGTTAAAGCGTTAGCTCGTCATGTTGAAGACCCGGGTTCGATTCCCGACATGGGTACAATGTGTGAAGCCCATTTCTGGTGTCCCCCGCCCTGATATTGCTGGAATATTGCTAAAAGCGGCGTAAAACCTCACTCACTCACTGTCATGTTACATAGCCTATACAACGTACTCACCTCTCAAATTCCACCATTTCTTTTGAAATATCCTGTATCACTTTTATCATATCGGCGATATGTTGGTCTACAAACACATGTTGCATAAAGACCATTGCATAATTTTTGTCAATGTACGACGATTTTCCAACCTTCAGTGGTGATTAATTAAATATGGAAATAATTGACCAGACACACATTTTTTAAATGGTATGGTAAACGTTCTCATGGTAATATAGCCAGTTGCGGACACAGATCGAAGTCATGTTCAGCAGACACACAAATCAAATATTGTTCTTTTAAAAACAGAGGGGCGGTCGGGTAGCCTAGTGATTAAAGCGTTGGCTCGTCACACCGGAGACCCGGGTTCGATTCTCAACATGGGTACAATGTGTGAAGCCCATTTCTGGTGTCCCCCGCCGTGATATTGCTGGAATATTGCTAAAAGCGGCGTAAAATCAAACTCTCTCACTCAATTTAAAAACATAAAATCCTACCAATGGGTGCATCAGGTCTCAGTCCGCCATGTTGATAGTCTCCCTTGAGTATAATGATGAAAGCCAGGAACATCTGCCTGATCAGGGAGTCACCGTAGAAGTGGTATGTTCCACCCCGGAGCAGTTCACACGCTGACGTTGACGTGAACGTCCGCACCTGACATCTGAACATTGACAACAATAATTCATAATTCAACTGTACAAACACATGTATAAGGTACACATAGCAATGCCCCTACACTACAATGATGTACAATGTAATTGATTGACCGCCCATCACCTGATTATCACCATATGATTCCTTGTTAAATTTGAGGTGAACAATTCACTTGCCTTTGCATGTGTTTGTGACGGTGTCACTTCTGGGACAGGATGCGATAACCGTTTCGCGAACATTTAGTATTATCACTATTTGAAAGTGGATTACAACACATGCTTATGATATTGTCGGAATCGTACAATGGACATATAGTTATGGAAAGGGTTTTTTTCGCTTATATTACAAAACACATCATTATCTCTCTATATATAGAGGTGTATCTGGTGGTGTACAAGAAATACGTGTTCATAATTGTCATCAGAACGTTTGATGCCTGTATTCAAACGAATGATTCTTAGATGTGGTCCATTTTAAACAGGTCTCAAGAATAGATATTACCTTCACTAACAACCTACCTGGCATCAGCCGGGGTCCATGTTGAATATTCAGCATGGACTTGACGCCGCAGATCGTAACAGTTATCACAGACACATTCTTCAACTGTTTTCTTCTGACATACGTTGTCATAGCAACAGGGGGTACCCCCATTTGGCTCACAAAGCACCCGGAACCACTCACTCGCCTTATCACGCAACATCCATTGATAGTAGGATATGTTTCCACAGCGTTTATCCGGCTTTTCAAAACTTTTATCATCATTTAGAAAAAAGAGACCATGTCGTAAAAACGCTTCAATGTCTTCTCCCTCCCTCGCCGTAAGAGGCCGGGTGACCCAGGTACCAGTCAGCATATGCCCCAGCACACTCGGGCACGACCCGTAGGCTTTCTGCTCTACTCCTGCAATGACACTAAAGGGTGTGTCACTTCGACACGTCATATAGCCTATTGTGATTGCAACTAACACACCCAAATAGAAAACACGGTATGGCGTGATCACTCGCCTCACGCTGTCTGCATTAAGTTCACATCTGCACGGACAGCGGAAGATCGATGGTTCGATCCCCGACCGCGTCATACCAAAACACGTTAAAGTGTGGTTCTTGTTGTTACCCTGCCTGGCACTCGGCATTGAGGGCATAAACATGGACTAGTCGGCTCGGTGTCAGTACACAGTGGGATGTCCATAAGCTCGAGTATGGTAGCTCAATATCAAAAAGATATTCCCGGATTAGTACATGCTGCCACACATACATATACACATATGTGCATGCACATCGCTATATAACGGGACGTTAAACCCCATTTCACCTCACCTCTCTATTGACAAATGTACCCTTCCGCTGTAAATCACCCACACAATATGACCTTTCAGCCACTTTTAGCAAACACATTTCAAGCTCTCACTACAGCTACACTTCACGCTTGACCTCCCATTCAGGATCACAGGAATATCCAATCTTCATTGTACATACAGAGTTGTCTCGTCCACCAATCAAGAAGCACAACGCATTATCCGAAACTACACTGTATCCATGGAAGTGCCTTACTTGCACTTCGTGTTGTAGGTTTCAGATTGTCTTCCATGAAAGTAACCATGCCAAATACAGCCACTCCAGACTGAATAGTACAACGAACTGCCACCAGCTCCTGCCAGCCGTGGTTGGTGTCCACCATACACATGTCAACCAACGCACATTGTCATTGTGTTAGAACCCCAACAACCTTTTGGTTAGAATGAATAGTACCTGAATAGTTTATAACACAATGTCATTCATAGTCAGTGTGAATGTAAGCTGAGAGCTGGCAACTATATTGTAATCTGTCCGACCTTTCCCGTATATTGTATATGATTGTTCTGGAATGTTCGTGTATGGTCATAAGTCCCAGTAGTAATAATAATAATAATGATAATGATAATAATAATAATAAGAAGAAGAAGAAGAAGAAGAAGAAGAAAACTTTATGTTATGTACCTCACGAATGGATTTTAATGTCACTGGAATGTTCATGTATTGACCTCCCCGAGCGACTACTTGTTTTACTAAAGTCTTTAATGAATTTCTGTTCAACTCAACTTGAGATGTATTCGCAGGGGCAGCTGGTGACTTCGGAATCCATCTTAATTAGAAGAGGAATATTTCAGGGCGATTCTTTTAGTCCTTTGCTTTTCTGTTTGTCATTAAATCCTTTAAGCTTTTTGCTTAGCGGTAAGGAAGGTTATCACCCGGGACCTCCTCAGCACAGATCCCTAACACCCCTTACACACCTCCTTTACATGGATGACCTTGAGGATCTATGGAGGATCTACACTTTAAAAACAGATTCTCATTTTCAAGTCCTTTTCTAATGATATCGGATTGTTTTTTGCACTCGACAAATCGGTTATATCGGTCCGTTCGTTATACGCGTGTTCGTTATAAACGTAGTTTACTGTATATACTTCTCTCTACCTATATCTAATGATCAAAGCAGACATCTTGCCCTGCTGTGCTCTTTCCATTGTGTTCGCGGATCGGGCGGAGCTATAGCGTTCTAAGTAACATTGATCTCGCCTGGAAATTAAGCGATGTTTCGTAAAAGGACCATATGGTATTCAAATATTGAGACGTTTCTTAAAAAAGTGTGTCTTCTCAAATAGTATCCTCATCAAGTTCATGAATGTCCCGAAGCCAGATGTTCTATGTATTATATAGTTTCTTTATAACCCATGTCCTACCGTCACTGAAGGTTTTTCCGACATAAAATGGTAATTTTACTGGAGTGAAATATCGATTATTATTTTCATATAACTATAACACATAACAATATAGCACATAATAATTTCAGTCTGCCTCGACGACATTTCTGAGAGTAATGTCATGAAGATTATCAAAGATATATTTACTACATGGAAAATTGGCGTTTCTTGTCAAAATACATGTTTACCATATCTCATGACCTGAAAAAGTTGACATTTCTGGCTTCGTGACATGTTTGTTGTTAAACGCCACACTCAGATACATTACGACTGTTACTATGACAGCTTCCTGTTCATAATCAGAAAAGAACAGTTTATATTTCTCGAGACGAACACCCAGGGGTTACTTCAGTGTGAAACCAAAAACAAAGACAAGGCACACAGTTAAGAAGTGTATAACATTAAGAGTGAGTGAGTGAGTTGGGTTTAACGCCGCTTTTAACAGTATTACAGTTATATCGCGGGGTGTCAGCTTAATGTGGGAGGAAAGCCCGAAGGGATGCAGGTCTTAGACGTTTACCACTTCGGTGAAACCCACGAGCACGGGTATGGTGCTGACAAACCTAGAAACATAATCGGGGCGAACCGGGATTCGAACCCACAATAATAGGTTTCTGGCGTGCCTAAGGGACGCAACTCTGCACAGCGAATCGCGGCGCCCTAGACGACAGGGCCACCCGTGCACCCCTTTACAGCATGAACATGTTTTAGCAATAAATTGATAAATTGTGAAGGATTCTTTACTTCAGATTTCGGTGCTAGGAGGGAGCCTCGCGTCTCCACTGAGAACTGCATTGTCAACATAATCGTTCCAGACTTGAACTACTGTTCCAGTGTTATTTGGTAACGTATGGTTATCAGTTCTTATGCTGGTTGTATGAGGCAAAACAAACCAAATGGATTGAGTGGCCAGGCTCGTTGCTCACAACGTGGCTCACAATATCAATCACGAGATTGTCTGGTCCAGACTCGACGTAATACAACAATCAAACAAACACATCTTAATTATAAAGGATACATCCTCGAACAAGGTAAGCGTAATATCAAATCACGTTTTTCTTTTCAATATATGGGTATATTTTATGAACTAATTATTCTTACAATACTAGTTTCGTTTACTTCTGATATGTGAGTGCTGTGGAATTCGACTTAATTTCAATGGCTAGTGTGATATCTAATATTACTAATAAGTTCAGGCAAATGCAATAATGCTTAAAAATCCTTGTCAGTTATTGGCGGTTACACGACACACGTGTGTTAGCAAAACGAGTCAATCAGTCGATAGTGTTACACCAGCGGCTGTTGTATCAACTGGTATCCAGGTCTGCCAGAACAAATAGACTTTCTTCAAGAGAACAACGCTGACTTCAGTATATGTCGGTTATACAGTGGAGGAATATCAAAGGATTGTCACCAAGGTCCAAGAGCATATAGGTAAGATTTGGTCCTATAGTATTCGAATCCTAGATCCTAGATAATACACCAGCTTCTAAATATATGATCAACCAGGCGACCCTTTACCTATTACATCTTAAAAGGATAGGTTTCCACTTACCGGACCTTCCCAGTTTGAGTGAGTAAGTTGGGTTTAACGCCGCTTTTAACAATATTACAGTTACATTGTACATCGCAGCGTGTCAGCTTAATGGGAGGAAATCCCGAAGTGATGCAGGTCTCAGACGTTTACCACTCAGACGAGAAACCCACGACCACAGGGTATGGTGCTGACAAACCTAGAAACATAATCGGGGCGAACCGGGATTCGAACCCACAAACGTCGGTTTCTGACTTGCCCAAGGGACGCAACTCTGCACAGCGAATCGCGGCTCCTTAGACGACTGGGCCACCCGTGCCCCCTCCCATTTTGAATCAGCCCGGGTACCTTCATTTGGTATTGTACCCATGGCCAGCAAAATGTTTATCTTGAAGCTTCCCTGCTGCGTCTCCTTGTCCATGGGTATTCTGGTTGATGAGACGACTGATATTGTCGATTTGTCACCCTTCTATTGATAATATGTCTAATTTGGACATTTTAATACTAAAAACAAATTTGAGGAGTCGTGTATCGTGCCAAATATCTTCACGAAATTACATGCTAGTACTTTAAGGGTTTTTTCGGAGAAAAAGTTCAAAAGGACAGGGACAGACAACACTACACCAAACGTTTACTTTTGGTCATAGCAAGATGATAAGAAACAGAAGCCGACACCTTACCGCCAGTGCGATACCATTTCCTTCATTTTGCACCCGATATTATGAGGACAAACATTATTGACATGACTTCAAATCTCTCATTACCTATACAAGAAAGCTACATGGACTTCCAGTTTAATGAAGTTGACCTTAGAATTGCCCTCATTAAACTAATTCATGTAAAACATATCATTTATGTACTCATTACTCGTTAACCATTTCGTTCGTTCGTTCGTTCGTTCGTTGTTTAACGCCGCACTTAGCAATATTCCAGCTACATGACGACGGTCTGTAAATAATCGAGTCTGGACCAGACAATCCAGTGATTGACATCATGAGCATCGATCCACGCAATTAGTGAGGTGAGGTGAGGTGAAATTGGGTTTAACGTCGCGTTCAAGATTATTGCACTTAATAGCGACGTGCATGCACGTGTGTGTGTGTGTGTGTGTGTGTGTGTGTGTGTGTGTGTGTGTGTGTGTGTGTGTGTGCTTGTACTAGTCCCGACTAATGCCGATTTACAGTGCTAGCTCACTGATATACCATGCCGCAGTTTAACATGAATACCCCACTCAGGCTCCGAGCCGACCAGTCCTTGTTTTAGCCCTTGATGCCGAACGCAAGACAGGGTAACAACAAGTACCATCTTTTAACGTCTTTTGGTATGACGCGGCCGGGGATCGAACCCCACACCTTCCGCTCTCCGAGCCGGGCGGACGCTCTACCACTAGACCATTTGTCTTTGGATGACCTTGAACACTATTCTATTCTCCTGACACTGACCTTGTTGTGTTATATAATTATCAAAACCCAACCATGGTTCTGTCTTTGCACTAACGATCCAAAAACCGATATGAAGTTTCCCTCTCCCAGGTAAAAGCAAGGGAAAAAACTTTGCTGAAAAGAATCGTATTGTAACATTATATCCTGACGACAAAAAACACAAAAACAAAATGTATGTTCATTAAGTTCATGGAACATATCAAAATCAATCATTGTTTCTCATATTTATGTGCACTGAACTTGATTATTATTTTCCAAAAGAATAATTGTCACATATTGAATAAGTGGGTACATTTATGCCACTATCTATGTTTATACTTTCCCACCCTTAAAATGGCAATATACACTGTAGATACCAAGGGATCTGTAAAGTGTCAAGCCTGTTACATTATAACTGCATTTAAAACTTGTCAATAAGAAATACTGGTTTTTGTCTTCAAACAAAACAACATCACTTGTTGGGCTAAAAAACGTTGAGTTTTCATTTGCATGCCATCACAATCTTACAGCTAGTGAACAGCGAAAACAAGACGAGTAACGTTGTATGCTTCGCCGTTAGGATGTTAGACGTCGTGTTTACAGGTGTTGCGGGGAACGTTAGGCACGCATCTGCGTACAGGACGTGGACAGATTTGATATTGGTAGAGTAATGATGTGGGCAGCCATCTCTTACATTGACAGAACAGACTGTGTGCCTGTTCAAGGGAATTGAGCGGCACAACGTCACATGGATATGAAATTCTTCGGCCACTCGCCCTTCCCATTATGAAACAAGCGGACGTCATTTTCCAACAAGACAGCGCCTGGCCTGTCATGGCCCTCCAGATGTCCAGATTTAAACCCAATCGAACATTTATGGGATGCACTGGATCAACGACTGCGAGCACGTCAGCAACAACCACAAAACCTCCGCCAGGTGACGCAAGCACTGCAGGAAAAGTGGAAGAACATACCCTAGACCACAATGTGGAATCTTATTGCTTCCGTTGATGCCTGTCACTTTAGGCCAAACAATAATTGTGGGCCTTCACCTTTAAAATATATTGTGCCATATCGAACCAACATCAATGAGAATGATATGTGCCAATTTTGATTACCATCTGTTGATTTTTTATATGATATACAAAATATAGATCTAAATCACCTTTGCGTTTCTTTATTTGCAGAGTATATTTTTGTTGAATTTGCAAGAGAGAAAGAAACTATATTTGATAGGTGGTGTACTTCAAAGGAGGTCAGTGGTGATTTTGATAGTTTGAGGCAGCTGGGTTGGCTTGGGGATTTTAAGCAGTGTGGATCAGTTACACCAGACTGCTACTTTGGCCACAGCCTTTTGGGGTTCGGCAAAAGGAGGAGTTTTTGTAGACCAGTTATTATAGGCTGTTGTTAGTGTTTGTGTCAGCTAAAGGTAACAGGCCCATCACTGTTTCGGGGAATACCGGTGTTCTATTTTGCCACTTTCTCATCAGTCATCAGCGAACTCGGGGGTCTTGTTAGAGTGAGTGAGTTAAAATTTAACGTCACATCGGCATTATTTCAGCCATATCGGGAGTCTTGTTAGAGGATTTATCTGGTTGTTGGTATCCATTTTGTGAATTTGAGGACAGATTTAGTGCCTTCGTTGGCCAAGGTGGGGGTTGTAGAAACTCTACCTGTAGACTTGCTCATTGCTCATTGGAAATGGTTTGGCAAGGGGAAGATGTTTGGCTGATCCTGTTGTGTGTCTTGAGACAAGCTCTTCGGATAGTACTAAACATCTTGAAAAAGAAATTCCATCTATTTGTTCTTCATGCGTTGTTACTCAGGCTATGGCTAGGCAAAGTTCTTTGGGGAAATGATTTGGTTGGCAATGTTATGGGTCATTCTCTTGACCTGTCTAAATCGTCGGGCGAGAGTACTAAACATTCTGTTGAGGAACCAGTTCTGGGTAGGGAGCAGTTAGTTGCAGGGGCCAGACCCAGAACTCAAAGTTCTTGCAAACGAGGCACTCTCTTGAAGCTGACATGGTTCAGGGTGGTTATTATTTCAAGGATAGCATTTTAATGAGGAAATGGAGGCCGCCAGACGTACCTGCTGATAATGAATTGAAGATTTTCCATCAAATTGTTGTTCCAAATTCATATCGAATGTTTTGAGTTTTGCACATGAAACACCTGTGGCAGGTCCTTTGGATGTGAACAAAATTTGTGACAAAACTTGCTTCATGAGGGGTAAATACATAAAAAACTTCCAAAATGCTTGATTCAGAAAGGGTATATACATATTACACTTCAATAATGCTTGATTCGCAGAGGAGAAATATTTAATGCACTTCAATAATGCTTGATTCACACTAGGAACATACATAATTCACTTCAATAATGCTTGATTCACACTAGGAACACACATAATACACATCAATAATGTTTGATTGACACTTGGGAAATACATAATGCACTTCTCTACAAAAGTATCGGATATATTCGGCGAATGAACATATTTGACTTCAATAATGCCTGCTTCGCACGGAGAAAATACTCTTTAATAATGCTTGATTACCATGCTGAAATACAGAATACACTTCAATAATGCCTGAAATCACACAGGGAATATACACAGTATGTGATAGTCAGTGATGCACAGCAGCGTTATCCTTGCTGGTATGTGATATTTACGATGAGGAAGTAAACGTGGGTAATAATCTCTTTATTGTATTATGTCATGGTTCAATAAACGAAGCTTAAGAAATGTTGAAATTTACTATAGTTACTGCTAAGGAATTTAAAGCCAGGGTGAAGCGCTCTCTCTATGATATGATGCCAAATGATGCGCAGTCATGGCTGTCTGCATAAGGACTCATGGTCACACATTGGGAAACCACAATCCGATTATTTGTGGAACATTACGCAATCCATTTTGAGGACGTACACCTCACATCTATCGACAGAACTTACTCTCATTAAAATCAGATCTTGAAACTTTTCGGCTGTCTGTCGCTGATATGTTATCACCTTATGTATTAGATAGTGACAGAGACCAGGTTCCACTTAATATCGAGTCTGCGGTAGAAACTTTGGTTGATGTATTTCATATTTGTGCTGAGTCTTGTGGTCTTTTAAAAAAGAAGTATAGTACTGTTTGCCGGACTAAGGATAGTAAGAATTGGTACGATGATGAGTGTATGAAATTAAAAAGACAAAAGTTTAATTAACTTGAGCTATTCAGAATCTCAGGAAGTAAGGAACTTTTGAAGGAATATGTTGTAATTAAGAATAAATAAAGAGGAATGTGTAGACAGAAGAGATTGAAGCATGATGAACATTGTATAAATGATCTGGTCAATAATAGTAAAAGTGGTAAATCCTTCTGGAGACGCATCAACAATATTATTTCTTCACCTTCTGTGACAGGGAACCCAGGTATTACCAATATGCAGTGGACCGAATATTTCCAGCATGTGTTTAATTTAACTGATATAC